GGGACAACATATCAACATACAGATTTGGTACTTCTTGGAATCGTCTTGCCCTCAGGGTTTCCAGCTGCTGTATAAGTCTGGACTGTGCATGAGGCACGGTAATGGTGGAGTGCGGCCCTCTGCAGCCAGAGCTGGGTGGAGGCTGGGGGAAGAGGAATATTGTGTTTTTGAGTCCACTTCCCTATTTGTGCACAGAGCATTCCACTAGTGTTCTCCTCCCTGCCTCCCAACCTTGATAGAGCCAAAAACATTAGGGATGGTATTAGGACAACTGACCTGCATGCCAAGGACATAGGACAGGAGACTATGCCATTGCCTTGTTTTGCCACCTGAAGTCAGGAACCTTAGAAGAAAGGGGCTGTTTGCTGTCATGGCTTTAATATCTGGAAGAAGGGAAAGCAAGAATGGGCATGAGCCTAGTATTTTTGAAAGAAAGGGGTGATTTCTGAGCCGTCCCAAACCAGCAGGAAGGACAGGGGTGATAACCCTAACTTGCCCATAGCAGGAAGCAAAGAGGAGAAGGGATTCGGCGTCGGAGACCATGACACAGGTCAAGAGTTCTAGTGCTACTTGCTTTTCTATGAGTTCCTTTTCCTCATATTAAGTCCTTATGAAAGCCGCCTTATGTCCATGGTTTCTGTAGCTGCACCAGCCTCTACACTTCTGATAGTTCAGGAGGAGTTGGGAATCTGTATTCTCCAATTGCTCCCCAACCTTAATGCACTTAACAAGTGTGTTCTTCATACTTATTAAGCCTCCAAAATCACGTTTTTAAACTGGTCCTGCTAATTTTTGCATTCTCCCCATCCTTGCTTCCAACCCTAGGGTTGGGGTGAGGTTGGGGTGGGCCATGTACAAGACTTTCTGGCTCTATCTCTCATTTCCTGAGCAGAGCTGGGCTGCACTAATTGACCTCGAGGGTCTCAGCTGTGCTAAGTTGGGTGTTTGTTAGATCTCGTTAGGTTTGTAATTAGTGCAGGGAATCTAGGTCAGAGGCAACGGGTTGGAGTGATGGTCTCCTGGGGCATGACTAAAGGTGGGGAATAGCAAACAGGCTCCTCATTCTGTGGGTGGGGTGAGCCGGGGGAGGAACGGTGGGACTTGTGTCACACACAGAGACAAACAGACACAGGGTCACGTGCAGAAAGGCGGTCAAACTCTGCTGTGTGCGTGTGTGTGCATGAGTGTGTGCATGAACGTGTATGATTTTCTGTGTGTGTGTGTGTGTGTGTGTTCGCTCCCGCATTTACTCGGGTTTCTTTCCAACCTCTCCATATATGGCGTGGCTCTAGAGCAGGCTGGGGATTGGCTGCTTCTGTTGGGAGACAGGGAGGTAGTAAGAAAGCAGAGAGAAAGGAACCCAGCGTAGGGAAGGGAGTGACGAAGTGGGGGATGGGGGGCAGTAGCCGAGCCTGAGGGTTGCAGAAGGGAGCTGGGACTGCTTGCCTGTGAGGTTTAGATAGGGGAGAGATTCTTAGAGACTCAATTTCTGGGAGAATGAGGCAGATTTACTACTGGCAGAGAGGCTGGGAGAGTGGCTGGCAAAGGAGGCGAGAGCTGTTTCCTCAGGGACAGAGCTCTAGGCTCAGCACCGCATGGTTTGTGAGAAGCAGGGCAGGAGTTACAGAAATTTGCACTTTTCTTTTCTCCCTGGTCAACCTATGCTGTGGAAATAGCAGGAAATCAACTCATCAGCGTTCCAGGCCAACACCCCAAACATTCTTCCTGACGGAGGGAGCCGGGACTGCAGTTCCTTCATCCCTTCTCAGGCCCCTGGCTAACAACCTGATGGGGAAGGACAGGAAAAGTTGAGGAAAATGTCATTGAAATGCGAATTAAGATTTCGTTCTTTACCTGCCTCTACCCCTCACCCCATCTCACCTCTGTGTCCTGGGTTCCCCCCGTCTCCCCATCCTTGGGCCTCCGGAGGGTGCTTCCCTTTGCTTCATCTGTGTAAGAAGAGAAGGGAGCAGAGCAGTTGGGAGGAGGAAGGGAGGGAGAATAAGTGTACCCTGAAAGCGTCTCGGGGCAGCTGTGTGCTGAGAAAGTTGCCCCACACAGCTACGGAGCCACCCATTTGCCACGCATCACAGTTACTGCGGGCACGAAGGGAACTATCGCAGGCAGAGGGGCTGGAATGATGGAGTGAGGGAAGAGACGCGCTGGGAGGAAGGGAAATAAACCGTAAGCACCTTCCCATCCTCCTGTCACAGTGCCCAGGTTCAACACAAATGCTTCCTCAACAGAACTCATGCCAGCAGCCTACCACAAGGGTGCACCTTAAGCAATTTTTCTAGTGGCAAGCCTGGCTCCATGCTAAGCTCTAAAGTTCTTGAAGACCAGGGATGATGCTTTCATCCCCCTTCTGGCTCTAGGCTTCAGCACAGTACCTGGTGTGCTCTCTCCTCTGAAGAGAGAGGTCGGGCACAGCCTGTGGCCTGGATCTAGCTAAGTGACAGTGACTGACCCCACAGCAGCGGCCTCATTCACACTGTGCTCCTTCCACCTGAGCTAGCGGCCCACTGCCCAGAGTCAAACCAGTAACAGTAGCTGCAGCAGTCACTTTTTGACTGACAGGCATTTTCCATATTGTCCTCACCCATCCAATAGCTCTGCAGCTTGCAGATGAAAAAAACTAATATTCGGAAAGCATGTGCCTTGCCCAGGGCCTCATAATCAAGAATTAACAGAGTTAGAATTTGAATCCAGATTCATCTGGTTTCAAAGCTGGGCTCATTTCACCACCCCTATGGCCTGGATGTTCCAGTAACTGTTGGAGAACTGGAAGCTGTTGGTTTTGGAGCCTGAAGCCAGGAGCACAGTGCCCAGCTCTTCTCTTCCTGTTGTAAGGTCCCCGATCTTTCTTTTCTGCTTCCCTCACCTGTCACTCTCCTCTCTAGTGTCTCCCTCCATCTTCTGGCTCCCCTGGGAGCCACAGATAATTGACATGTTGGGATACATATGTCATTTGTGCTTTTGTCTTCTTTCCTCATTATGTGGGAGCAACAAGGAAGAAAAAAAGAAAAGGAAAAATGCTGGCAAAATACAAAGATAGAGACTTGTAAAAAGAAAGCATAATTCTAGCTTAGACTTCAATACCTGTGACAGCGGATGGCTCTGCTGACCATGCTTAGGGGAGTGGAGACTGTAGCTATTTGGAGGACAGGATGTCTGGAAGCCTGGGTCCTCACCTCATACCCCAGGAGACCACAGAGACATGAAGGTGGCACTCTTGCACGCTTTCCCTTACTCATCTGGGATACACATTCCTCAAGGAAGAGGCTAGGTAACTACAGTCTAGAGCTGGGGAAAATCTCCATGACAAAGTGGAAAGGGACTAGAGAGAACAAGAATTCCTCTGCCCTAGGGATGGTTTAATAGCAGTGATAAGGTCCAGAGAAGAGTTGTGAAGGAAAGAGATGATTTCTGGAAAGAAGGGGAGAGAGCCCCCCCCCATTTTGCTTCCATGGGTTGTAGGAGTGACATCAGAGCAGAAGAATGGGGATTGAAGGGTCTGTTTCTCCCACAGGGTTTTTCCCCCTCTTCCTCCTATCCCATCTTCCTAACATCAGGGCAGCCTCATGGCCAGGTCTATATGCAACTTGGCCCCGTTTCCGCCTCCCCCCATCTCTAGTGAAGCCCTGCTGCTCTTGGAGGATCAAGCAGCTAGCAGTGCACACTTCAAAGTGGTTTTTAACCCTCCATTTACTTGATTCATGAGGCTCTGTCCCCTTCTTTCCCAAAATCAAATTATTCCCTTCACAGCTCTTCTCGGGACCTCACCGTTACTAAACCTGATCTCACACACTTCTGAGGAAGAGCGAACAGTGAGTTGTGTGGGACCTACCATAGGCAAGAATGTTGGGAAGCCTGTCAACTTCAGAGGTGGCTGGGAGGGTGCTGGCGTGGGCATCCAGATGCTTTTCTAAAGTGGGGGCTTGCTTAGTGATAGAAGAGGTTTGATGAAGGAGAGGGGGAGGCTACAGGAAACCTTAGCTTGGCCGAAAGAGGAACTTGGACACATGTTTGGTTTTCCCCTTCATCCTACCCAGCTTGCATCACAAATCAGTTTCATTCTTAGTTCAGTTCTTCTGTGGGATCTGTCTCTAGTTCCCCTGTGCTAGGGCCCTGAATCAAATAATGAAACTAGTCTCATCCGCCCAAGGTTGGATCTTTTTTTTTTTTTTGAGACGGAGTTTTGCTTGTTGCCCAGGCTGGAGTGCAATGGCACGATCTTGGCTTGCTGCAACCTCTGCCTCCCAGGTTCAAGTGATTCTCCTGTCTCAGCCTCCCGCATAGCTGGGATTACAGGCGCCCACCACCATGCCTGGCTAATTTTTTGTATTTTCAGTAGAGACAGGGTTTCATCATGTTGGTCAGGCTGGTCTCAAACTCCTGACCTCAGATGATCCACCTACTTTGGCCTCCCAAAGTGTTGGGATTACAGGCATGAGCCACTGCGCCCAACAAAGTTGGATCTTTGAGTCAATGTTGGGAAGGGTATGGAAGATGAAGGGAAGAAACGCCTCATGTAAGAAAATCCAGGCAGCTCGATCTCAATCAGAGACTGCTAGGAAAGAGAAGCCAGTGTCTGGCTGGGGAAGATTTTAATTCCACAAATCCTCCTCGGGGCTGGGATAAATTTCATGGACAGGTGGCAATGGCCTCCACATCCCTACAACTAGAGTAGGGCAGCGGAAACCTCACCCTCAGACTGACTGCCTGGGGTGGGACAAAACAGAAAACGCCCTCGTCCCCCTCCTGCTCTAAGCTTAGAAGCCCACTGTATCCTTGGGAGCAGCAGTGGACTCCCCGTGCCGTCTTGCGGGGCGGGCGGTGTGTGGAGTGATCAGACTATGTCTTTTCTGCACCTTCTCTCTCTCTGGCTGGGTAAAAACTTCCCACTACTGCTACAGGGTCACTTCCTCAAACCTGAAGGGGATACGGAAAGTAGGAGGGGAAACAAGGGTTGTAGTGGGGTCAGGCATCAGCAAGAGCAATGAGCTCATTTTTGTTTTCTTTTTTTGATTGAGGTAAATAAAAAAGCTTTATCCAGCAACACGGAGATAAGAGTCTGTCCAACCCGACGAGTTCCAGACCCCACCCCGCCCTCACATCAGGCTCTTCCGGTACTGACTGTGCGGGGTGGTCTGTCTGAGGTGGGAGTCGGGGGTCTGCAGGTCCATCTGTCTGTACAGGTCTCTCAGCTCCCTGACCTCCTGCAGCACCCTCTTTGCCTGGTTCCAATTTGATGACGCCTCTCCCAGCAGCCGTTCCGTCTCCAACAGCAGCTGCTCTGACTCAGAATCCGGCGGAGACCGAGGGGGGTCCTTGGCCTTTCGCTTCCCATCTCCCAGTCCCTGAACCTCTGCCAGAAGCTCCTGAGTCTTCTCCAGTTTCCTTGCTACCAGGTCCTGGATCCGGGACAGCTGCCCCGGGTGGGGGTGGGCAGGGGATGGGGGTTCCTCAGCCTGGAGCTGGAGGGTGCGGGCAGGGGCAGCGTCCCGCTGAGACAGGATCTCCTCCAGGGAGGCGCAGCGGCCCTTCTCTGTGGGTGTCAACTTCTTGGGTGCCTGGGGGGTGTAGGTGGCCCCTTTGTCTGGTTTTTCCCAAGGTCGGGAGAGGCTGCTTGCCCGGTCTGCGGAGGGCTGGATGCGGTCTGAGTCTGCTCTCCGCCGGCTCCCTGCCAGCTGGGCCACAGACTTGTCCAGGTCAACCCGAAAGCTCTCAGCACAAGAGGTTGGTTCCTCAGGGGAAGGGTCTTCCTCTTGGATCAGGTCCAAGGTCAGCATTCCATCCGAGGTAGAGGTGGAAGCCTGTGGAGCAAGGGGGAAATGAGAGGGGAAAGCTGTCTTCAGGAGGGATTTTCAGAATGACTGCCTAAAAGATGCAAGCTGTGGTCATTTTCCTCTACAAGCCTTCCCTGAATGAGAAGTAGTTTTTTGAGAGACAGAGTCTTACTCTGTTGCCCAGGCTGGAGTGCAGTGGCATAACCTTGGCTCACTGCAAACACCACCTTCTGGTTCAAGCGATTCTCCTACCTAAGCCTCCTAAATAGCTGGGATTACATGCACGCATCACCACGCCTGGCTTTTTTTTTTTGTATTTTTAGCAGTGGCAGGGTTTTACCATGTTGGCCATGGTTGGTCTCGAACTCCTGACCTCAAGTGATCCACCCGTCTCAGCCTCCCAAAGTACTGGGATTATAGGTGTGAGCAACCCTGCCTGGCAAAGCCCTCTGCTCTTGACTGAACCCTCCTACTGAATGTGCTCTTTCTTATTCCTTTGATAATGACTTGAATGTTTCTTTTTCTGTGATTTACTTTCTGTTGCTTGTTTCCTGTATTCTCCATTCTACCACAAGCTTCCTGAGGGGTGTCCTCTTCCTCAGTATTGTGGACTCTCAGCATTAAACTGGGTCTGACACACACAGGACGCTCCCCATGGCACAATGACTGTCCTCCTCCATCTGCATCCTATGAGCCCCACACTTCAGCCCCCTTGCCTTATAAAATTTTTTCTCTTATTTCCAGAATACTAAAAGTGATGAGTAGTCAATACCAAATATGTAGTTATACATATGCTGCTTTAGTCATTCCTCATAGCAGCCCTTCAAGGCAGGCATGATTACTGCCTCATTTTACAGCTGAAGACATGCAACTTCAGGGAACCACACAGGTAGCTGATTACAGTGAGGTTCCAACTCAGGTTCGGACTCCAAAGGCTGTGTTCTCTGCACTATACCTGCCTTCCTCTCTCTCTAAAGACTTAAGAGCTCAGAAGCATGAAAGAAACCAGCACTTTGTATGTTTCAGGGATTCATTGTCATCCTTTCTCTTCCAAATGCCTGCACTACTACATGCTGTTACCCATCAAGACAGTCACCATAAAGTGGCTTAGTTTTCATTTTCCTATGGGTATAACTCATTTTCTCCAAAAGAGGGTAACATTACTGGGAGCCAGGACTTTTGAACTCTTAATGCGTGCTGAATAAATCCTTTTGATTTAGATCAGGCAGGGGCATGGGGTGGAAGGACTTCCCTCGCCTCTGATCTTGGCATCGAGGCCTCCCACAAATGCCTCTGGTGGCATACAGTTCTGTCTGAGATGGACTGACACAGAATTCGCCCTTTGGCAATGTTTATTACGGTCTTACATACCACAGCCATTAGGTGTCCCCTTGTTGGGGGGCGGCGGGAGTGTTGGATTTTTGCCCTGTCTCGAGTGGGATGGGCAAGATAGCTGTCCTCCTCAACGGTGACCTGAAGAGATGTACTGTGAGTCATGAGTGCTCTTCAGCGACCTTTGTCCCAACCCAGCATCCCGAGGCCTGAACGCGTGCCCATTCCATTCACGGCTTCTGAATGAATCCATGGGCAAGGGGATTTACTGGACACGAAGGGGCTCTTTAAGCTGACGCAAGGCTGGCTCCCGCATCATGAAGTGGGGAAGAGGAGGTGTCAGAAGAGACTTGGAGAGAAGGTAGAAAGAGATCAGGTTTTTAAAAGGGAGGTAAAGAAGTAGAGCTGGTGGGGGAGCGAGTAAATGGGGCCTGCATAATCCTCCCCCTTCAGTGGGTCACAGCTGTTCCCTCTGCCCCAGCCTCCCTCCCTCTCCCCACAGTGAGCCCCCTGACCTCATCCAAGATACGGTTCTTGGCTCGGGTGATGGCAGAGTTGAGGGCACTGATCCACGATTCCTTCTCTTCTGGACTTACTGCCAGGAAGATCAGGTTGGGTGCCTGTGAGGGGAAGATTCCTGTTTCAGCCAGGGTTTTAGAGGTGGTGCCTCACCTCGAGATGAAGAAATAAGAGATTATAATCTCACTTTCTTAGACCCAGCTCCTGGAAGGAGAGATATTCTGCTTCCAGAGTCATCCATAACTTAAGGAAACCCAGCTTCTATTCCTGTAAAATGCATAGCTAGGAGGTTGTTTTAGAAACGACCAAGGAAGAGCTAAGAAGGATACTGAGTATTAATATGGTATTGGAGATAATCAGAGGAAGTCTGATGAAGGACAGGTATTAAAATACAAATCTTTCAATGTTTGAAGAAATAGAAAGTGACAGGAGTAACTTCCCTGGGTTCCCTCCGACAAGATGAATTAGATTCAGAACTTCAACCACCTATCAGGGTACAAGGACAGGGATTTTCTTCTGAGGGATGTAAATATGCACATGTGTGGATATGTGTGTATAAGACAGAAAAAAATAAAGAGATATATAGAGAGATGATCTTTGTGGCTGAACAGGTTAAAGGCTGGCCTGCCTGGAAAGAAGGAAATGGCCACAATATTCTCAGGTGAAATGATAAAAGCCAGCAGGAGAGCAATCCAGGGCCTCTGAGCCAAGATTGCTGAGAGAAGTTGAGGGGAAGGAGTTCTCCCCTGCCCCCTCCAACCCTGTCCATGTTCCAGCGGCCAAGGTGGCAGGAGAAACATACCGTGTTACCGGGCTGTTTGGAGTGGGCAAGAGTAAACTTGCTATGATTTTTCTTGCTCCTGCTCTTGGACTTCCGGAGCTCTTCACACTTCTCATAGTCACTCAGGTCAAATACCTCTTGAATATTTTTCTCATCTTTTACCTAGGGGAGGGTTGGGGTGAGGTGAGGAGGATAAAATTATTTAGCCCCTCCACCCAGACTGTTAGTTTAGATCATCTTGGGAAGCAGAGGAAGCCTGAGGAGAGGGAGGCATGCCAGGAGAGGAGAGGGCCATCCTGCCCAAAGCCTACAAAGGCCTCACATCGAGGAGGAGGCTAGGGCAGCCCCAAGTCTTGAATGTTCAGGTGTGTTTGTTTAAATCCCTTCTCTTCACTCTCCTTAGCCAGGCTGCCATTTCCAGAGTCCCACTATGCCTCTCTTCACCCATTGCCCCACTCTTCCTTAAGGACACAACTTACATGTTCTAAAAAGGCTCATGTCCTTAAAGGCACATCGTAGATGGTTGATCCATCACCCTCAGTAAGACAGACCTGTATGGCCCTTGATAGTCCACAGAATGAAGATCAAGGCATGGCCAGTATCAGAGTGTCTGGAGGGAAGGAGGGGCTGTCTCTGGCCTTCCCACTCGCACGTGTGCAGTATAGCTCTCCCACCCCACCTTGCTCCCTTCTCTGGTATGTACAATTACAGAGACTCATCTTCCTTGTTCATTTCAGGAGCATCGCCACCACAGGACGGCAGCCCCCTGTGTTCACTTTGCTGAGTTTGTCCAGAGAAGCTGAAAACTACAATTACAGTTCCTACCCTTTCCTCCTCCCTCTAAGGTACCATGACAATCCAAACTAACTCCTCCAGACCTGAAAAACCATTTCTTTCATCCCCCTATCTCTAGGCAAGAATGCACTTAGACTTTCCCTTGAAGACTACACTTTAGACTTGGAAAAAAGTATTCTGTGACTTCTTGCCAGTATTCTAGTTTGAGTGCCTGGGTCCCCTTTATTGCAGGAAGCTCTTCCTCGTATCTAAACTCAGCCCTCCCTGCTGTAGTCTCTGTCCTGCACTGTGGTTCTACCTTTAGCAGCTTCAAGTAACATTGAGCTCTTGGCACTCCTGCTGAATGTCTCATCGAGGCCGCATTCCTAGTGACATCCTCCAACCCCAACTAGCCTTTTCTGAGCACTGCAAAGTGGCTCTGGAAATACTTCTTCGCAGGTCCATTTGAAACCGATCACAATGTTTTCTCCTTTCCCCTAAGGCGGTGTTCCTACAACTCTGGGACTCTGAAGCAGTGGCTTATGGATTTGGTTTGGCTTGCAATGACCAAAGTTACAGAGAAGAGACTTAGTTACAAGCCCACACCGCACAGTCTGTTCATCCTCTGTGACTTGAGCCCAGGGTTGGAACACCTCAGGAAAAAGCTGGTCACGTTTTCCTGGGATGAGAAATGAAAAGCACCAGCACTTGTCTCATTAAAACTAAACAGATAAAAGGAGCCTCATGTCTTCCTTCGATGACATCCACCCACCCTGACTGAAATTATTTTTCAAAAGAGTCCCCAACTTCCCCAGCTCTGAAATGGGGCTCGTGTGCATGGAGGTGAATTCATCTATCCTCCTGGTTCCTGGAAACCTGGAAGTGGGGAAGTGGTTCTCCCTTCCATTACCCAGACCATCTACCGTCTTGCATCCGCCCATCCTTCTGAATTGCTGCTGGACCTGGAGGCTGATGACAGATGAGGACAGATGACCACATGGCCCCATTCAAGTGAGTGACTGCTCATACATCTACCTCCATTTGTTTCAGCAAGGCTTGGCTCCTCCAGGGCCCCCCACTTTCCAGGTTCCCTGGCTTTGGGCTGGAAAGCGGCCAGAGGCCTTGAATGATTACGGGTAGAAGTAGGACAAGGTGCTGGCAAGGGGTGTCCAAGAACAATTCCCAGAAACACGGGGCAGGGATGTAAGATGATGCATCATCCCTCCTCTCCCCCTCCTTCTCCAGAGTTGAGACTATCAGCAGAGTACAGAAACCGTGGAGAGGAAAGTGCTGGGTGTGTGAATGTAGCCAGGGGAAGAGAGTTAACTTACTCCGTTTTCCTTAGGGGGAAGGGAAGGAAAGGAAGTTATTCTAGCTTGCATACAGACTGATAAGGAGTTCTGGGGAGCAGAAGACACTGACAAAGGTTAGCCCTTAGTGGGGGTGGAGAGGGTGGGAGATGGGGTGAGGCAAGCAGTAGGACAAGTATATTCCAGTGCCTGGGAAGATGGACAAAGCCAGCAGCCTTGTTCTCCACCGTATTGTGTTTTTTTTTTCCCACGCTTATCTAATTCCCAGAGTCTCATTTATAACTACCCATCTTCCAAATTAACCCTTCCTTTCCCCTGATTCTTTGTCCTTGACCATAGAAAGGGATTTTTTCCCACACCTGTCCAAAGAGTTGCCCCAAATCCAATTTCCTTGACCATGAGGTCTAACCCACCAGCCTGTGGGTTCTTACCCACCAGCCTGTGACCGTAAGGTGCTCCAGACCTCTTTGAGAGAGGATGCCCTTTGACTGAGAAGGAAGAAAATGATTACTATCGAACACAGAAGAAATTCTATGGCAGAGGTGGTTGTGGGAGACCCTGCCTTTAAGAGACGAAATAACAAAAAAGACTAGTGAAAATTCTGGGAGATAGGGTTATAATTTTTCTTGCATTAACAGCAAATGATATAGATTATACTCTGCCTTAAAAAAAATCTTGTCCAGGCACTGTGGCTCACACCTATAATCCCAGAATTTCAGGAGGTTGAGGCAGGAGGATCACTTGAAGCCAGGAATTTGAGACCAGCCTGGGCAACATAGTGAGACCCCATGTCTATAAAAAATTAAAAAAAAAAAAATAGTTGGGTGTGGTGGTGCATGCCTGTAGTCCCAGCTACTCGGGAGGCTGAGGTGGAAGGATTGCTTGAGTCCAGGAGGTCAAGGCAGCAGAGAGTTACGACTGTGACACTGCATTCCAGCGTGGGAGAGAGTGAGACCGTCTCTAAAAAACAAAACAAAACACCCTGTCTTGACTCTATTGGCCCTGGAGCTTTTCGCAAGTGGGCAGAATAAAGCCCAGAGTCCTCTGTCAATTTCACTTTTAACCAGGCCCACTGTAGCATGGAAACTGGCTCTAAAAAAGCATAGTATCAATATGTCTAGTCCCTCTTTCCTATGCCCTTCCCAGCAGGAGACAGCTGGCTCCGTGACCAGTCAGATGGTCCTGACTCATAGGACACCAGACATCCTAGGCTGAGGTCATTCCATCCTTTCCCCTGTCTCTGTACCTCTTCCTCACAAGCAAGGATCAACTATGCTTTTGCCCCCAGACTCTGCTCTTTGGGCAAATACAAACAAGTAATGGATGTCTTATTCCTCTTACCCTTTCACTATTATGTTTTCCCTGACTTGTAGGAAGTTCTCCCTGATTGGTAACTAGAGTTTCCTGCAATTAAGAAGTTCGGGGAAGACAGGAGATACACTTTGACACTTGCTTTTTTTTTTTTTTTAATCAGAAAGCTGGAAAGTTGTGGACAAAACTTTCTGGAGGATTTGTGATTGGGCAGCGATAACTCTTAAAAATAAATCCTCCTGGCCAGGCATGGTGGCTCACATCTGTAATCCCAGTACTTTGGGAGGCTGAGGCTGGTGGACCACTTGAGGCCAGGAGTTTGCGAGCAGCCTGGTCAACAATGCGAAACACTGTCTCTACAAAAAATACAAAAACTAGCCAGACATGGTGGCACCCACCTGTAGTCCCAGCTACTCGGAGGATGAGATGGGAGGATCACTTGAGCCCTGGAGGTGAAGGCTGCAGTGAGCTGTGATCGAACCACTGCATTCCAGCCTGGGTGACAGACCAAGAAAAGTGCCTTCACCTCACTCCTAAGACTTTCCATCACCAACTTCCTAGCTTTGTGTAAACAGCTAGGTTTCAATACCCTTAAGAGGGATCTCTTTGGCTGTGGCACAGCTTAGTTCTTCCCTAGATGCCTCAGTAGACGTTCTTCTAGATGAGTACTTTGTCTCAGGGTGTGTGTGTATCTGTTTCAATACCATAAAAGGTTTTATTTACCTAAATATAATCTACTGAATAAGGGTGTCTACTGCAGAAAGTAGAAGAGGTTAGAACTCAGGGAGGACTTCCCAGTTAGCTCTGGGTGAGGGAACACAGAATCCCTCCTGTGAGGGCGAGAGGAAGAGCCACTCTAACTGGTACACAGGACAGTGTCCCAGGCTATACTGACAGTCACGGAGGCAGGGAATGGAGTGACTTCTAACCACTGGAGGGGCAATTCTGATTTCTCAACATGAGTACACGTTATTGACCCCAAGACTTAGGGAAAAAAGGGAGATGGGTCTGGATTCAATTATCATAGCTCAGGTTTTGACACAGTGTAGACTGGTTTTCATGGTTAAATACATAGCCAAAGGTATCCAAAGACATACAGGGGTTCTTAACTCCATTCTTCTCCCTTCTGATACAAATGGGGGGGGTGGGCAGGAAGTGGGTAGAAAATGGGTTCCTTGCCTTTTTTAAATGGGGTGGGGGTGGGGAACAGAGAGCATACTGGTTAGGGACACCGCCTTCAACGAAAATAACTGCCACTCACAGACCCGAGGTCACAGGGGCCAGACGGCGGGGTGCGTGTGTATTTTCTGTGATTCAGGGCGGATGCGCCACGGACAGGACCTGTGCGCGCTCCTGCCACAGACAGGAAAGGGGAGGCTGGCTGGGGTAGGGTCGGGGGACAGGAAGGGGTGGCGAATAGGCTAAACTGTTTCAGCAGAAATAACAAAGAAAATAAATCCTATGTTCAGGAGGCCGGTTAGGGTGGGAGGCAGCAAGGGACACTCAGGACTTCTGGGGCGTCTTGGGAGGGGCTTATCATTGTTGTTAGAAAGGTATTTGCAAACAAAAAAACACTGAGTAAGCGGCCAGCTCAACTTCTAATTCTCACTCGGGTCTTCTCACTAAAGGGTGACCTTTCTCTGCAGATGAGATGGGCGTATAGAGTCAGGAGACCACTGAACTTGCCTTTGGAACAAAACGAGGGTGGAGTAAGCTAGGCGAGCCCTTGTGGAGTGACAAAGTGGGGGCTATGAGAAAACGGAGAGTTAGAGGCAAGAAGCACCCACCTCCTTCTCAGAGATGTAGAGCTGGTCCCCTTTCAGCACCACATAGCGGTTTTTCCAAATCTCCCTGAAAATCCCTTTCCCGCAGAATTTCCGGACCCAGCCGACCTTCTCGGGCGGTGCAGGCTGCTGGTTTCCATCCTGAGGCCCCTGCCCCAGGACAAGATGAGAAGCGGGTGGTTAGGAGATTCCAGCCGCGGCTTCCTCTCCATCCGTCTCTCACGACCGCCTCAGCGGCCCCGTCTCCTCCGAAGGCTGCGGCCGGGGGGGGCGCCCCAGGTTCGCTCCCACTTCGGAAAGGTTTTCACTCCAAGGAACTCCCCCCGTTCCCCTCCCCTGCTCCCGAATAAACAACCGGGGCTGCAAGTGGCAGGGGCGCGGGCCGGGCGCGGAGGGGCTCCCGGGCTCCCTCCAGGCCCTGCCTCCCCGCCGCCCCGTGCTCGCCGCGCGGGGACTAACGGCGTTTCTTTGGTTTTCTCTCCCATTGTCTCCTCGCCACGGCGGAGCGCGAGGCAAACGCCCGCCCGGCGCCCAGGGGCGGGGGAGGTGCGGGTCGGGGGGAAACTCAGCCAAGTTGAATCCCCCTGAGGCGAGTAAACAAACAAAAGCCCCCGCCGGCGCCTCGCGGGGCCCAGAGCCCCAGTCCGGGGCCGAGGCCAAGGGGACCTGGCCGCCGGGGCGGGGGAGCGGCCGGGGCGGGTGTCTCTCAGGCTGCCGCGGCGCCGACGGGGCCGGGGTAGTCGGAGCGCGGAGGCGGCGGCGGCCGCAGGGCGGGCGGGCGCACTCACCCGCTTGGCGGAATTGTTCTTCTTCATCATTCCCAGCGGGCGCGAGCGCGGGGCTGCGGGCCGAGGGGCGGCCCCGCGTCGGGGCCTCGGCGGCTCCGCGGGGGCTCCTTCCCCGCGGGAGGGCGTCGGAGCTGCCCCGGCGCCGCCGCTGCTCCTCCCTCGCGCCCTCCCGCTCCCGGACTCTCCCCTTCTTTGTAGCTCCGGTTTCACTCAAGGCCGGCCTCCCTCGCATTCGCACTCGCACACACACGCACGCCCGCTCCCCGCCCCTCGGCGCCCTCCATCCCGGCGCCCACGCGGCCCGGGTCCCCGAGCGCGCCCCCGCCACCCGCCGGCCCGGCCCAGCGCGGCCGCTCCCCCGGCCCGGTGCGCTGTGGGCGGCCCAGCCCGCGCCCCGCAGCTCCATCCGCGGGCCGCTGACGTTGCGAGTTCAGAATAAAGGGCGAATCGCGGAGCCGCAGCTCGGGCGCTCCCCCCGCCCCCCCGCCTTTGTTTCTGACTCACGGAGGGGGAAGAAGGCGGCCTCCAAGCGGCCGGAGACCGCTTCCCAGGGGGCAGGGACCCTCGCTCCGCGACGGCTCGGGCGACACGCGGAGCCCAAGAGACCCGGTCGCCGGCCGCCCCGGGGCCCAGTGGGCGGGCGCGGTGATAATGGAGAGACGTGCGGATTCGTGAAGACCGGAGATCGCCAGCCTCTAGAGCATCGCCTTTCCTGACCAAAAACAAAAACGAGAGCGGGAGCCCGGAGGGCGCGCTACCCAGAACTCTCATCAGGAATTCACGCTCCTAGGTGCTAGGGTGGCCTGGGCAGGTCAGATGCTGGGAAAAGTTTTATGCTCCGGAGGGGATCGACGTGTTGGGGGATGGGGTGGGACAGAAGTTGCTATTAATACACGTTTCTTCCAGTGTACAAAGCCTCCGGCCTTTTTGTAGCCTCAGGAGAATAATTCTAAGGATGAGGCGGATTTTATGATCTCCATCTCACAGGGAGAAAACGGAGACTCAGAATAGCTGAGGGATTTGCAGACACAGTGTCAATGCTGGCAGGAATAGAATTCTGTCTCCACACCATGATCCTTTATACCAAGTGGCTTTCAATGTAAGTTCCAGGTGAGGCTTAAACTTCCTGCCACCTGGGTATCTTTTCCCGCTGCACTAATAGGTAAAAATCCCATCCTCTCTGCAGCGCTGGAGTCCAGTGGAGGGAAGGGCTGAACGCCCAGAGAATGCCCTGACTAGGGAAGCCTCTGCTGATCCCTCCTACAGCAGATCTGCCTCAGAGCCTCCAGGACACATCTTAGTAACTTCATGTCTTTTCGGTATATATATGTGTGGTGGAAAAGGGGAGTGAGAAACCCTACTCTTAGGTATTGGTTTCATCACCACCCTGGGCTTTGGTAAGTCACTGAATTTCTTTAGGCCCGCATCCCTCCACATATTAAGTGGTGAGGGATGAACTGCCATTTTTATCAACAAGGAAAGTTAGGGGAAGATATGAGATGACCTCTGAGAGTCCTTTGAAGATATGTGTTGTCTTCCAGGGCTAATTTTGAAATAATAGGCTAATAAACACATTGCCTGGCACATGGCAAGCATGCAATAACCACAAAATGAATAAAAATCCTTGGCACTGAGGAGCAGGGAAAAGGAAAAATCCTTTTTCCGGAGATGTCTCAAGATAAAAGTGTTGGCTAAATTTGTGGTTTGAGTAGTGGAGGCTGTTTTGGCTTTTTCTGGTATGTCAAATGAAGGAGGGGCTCCCTCTCCTTTCCAGTCCCACCTTTCCTCCTAATCCAATGATATTCCTCTCAACTTCTTTCCATTCACCATACCAATTAATTCCACGATTTTAGACTGACACATAACCTTATCCTTTCAAAATGCTCTTATATGTCATTTCTTTACACTTTTAGTGCCACCTTGTAAGGTATATAGATTAAGTATTAATATTTTCATTTGGAAAATGAGGAAACAGGGCATGCCAGATCAACTGACTTGCCCAAGTTTATACATCAAGTTACTGGCTAAATGGATTAGAATCCAAGCTTCCTGACTGCAGTCTCCTCTTCAGATTTTGTAACCCCCTCCCATGGGCATGAGTGTGCACACACCACGTTCCCCAAACCATCTTGTCCCCTTCCCAATGTCTCTATTTTTTTTTTGAAACAGAGTCTCGCTCTGTCGCCCAGGCTGGAGTGCAGTGGCCAGATCTCGGCTCACTGCAAGCTCCGCCTCCCGGGTTTACGCCATTCTCCTGCCTCAGCCTCCCAAGTAGCTGGGACTACAGGCGCCCACCACCTCGCCCGGCTAGTTTTTTGTATTTTTTAATAGAGACGGGGTTTCACCATGTTAGCCGGGACGGTCTTGATCTCCTGACCTCGTAATCCGCCCGTCTCGGCTTCCCAAAGTGCTGGGATTACAGGCGTGAGCCACCGCGCCCGGCCCCAATGTCTCTATTTTCTAACCCCCTGTTTAAAGAGCGATGAAAAAATAATGAGCAAATCCAGGATGTCTTCATATGTGAGGAAGCAATATGTCCAGATGTACTGGTGAGGAAATAGCCTGCATGATTTTTTGAGGGTTTGCTGGACAAACACACATGAGTGGTTTAGATTTATCATTTAAATAGATTCTGATTTATGGGAAAAAGGTAATTCATCATTTGCCCCATCTTCCTCCTTTCCCAATAGTCAACAAATACTGGGCCGCGCGTGGTGGCTCACGGCTATAATCCCAGCACTTTGGGAGGCCGAGGCGGGTGGATCATTTGAGGTGAGAAGTTCAAGACCAGCCTGACCAACATGATGAAACTCCATCTCTACTAAATACAAAAAAAAAAAAAAAAAAAAAAAAAAGCCAGATGTGGTGGCACATGCCTGTAATCCCAGCTACTTGGGAGGCTGAGGCAGGAGAATCGCTCGAACCTGGGAGGCAGTGGTTGCAGTGAGCCGAGATGGCACCACTGCACTCCAGCCTGGGCAGCAGAGTGAAACTCCATCTCAAAAATAGATAGATAGATAGATAAATAGATAAATAGATAAAACAAATATTTGAGTGCCTCCTATATGCGAGGTCCAGGGTTCCTTTCGTGCTGCATCAGATAGGTGCCAGAGCATTGTGAAACATCAGGCAGAGGGGCTAATGAAAAAGAAAAACCCTCCAAAGTAATTTTCAGATTCCAGAGCAGATGCATGTGGGCTGCAGAACCTTCCCTGCCTGTCTGCTCTCTTAAGATGTTACATAAATCTCTGGCGTCCTTTCTTTCTCTGCCCTGCTCCATCCTGTGATCCTGCCCCTACTTTCGTTCACCTGTTCTCCCTTTGTCCTGTCACTCACCCCTTTCCACTTCCTCTGGCCTATTCTTGAAGCTGATTTGCCTCACCAGGTGAACTTCGTGGTACCTGAATTGGGATGTAGGTCGGACTGTTTTCCAAAGACCAATGCTTAAGTGAGAAATCTGAGAACGTATGGGTTCCTTTACACATTTTTATAGCGCTGTCTCCTCAGCGTTCCTCAGTGAGCTTGACACTACACACACAAAAACCACAGAAATCACTCTCAGTCAGTTTCTGCCTGTGGTGGAGATAAGACACCGGGAGGACCTCATGATAGGGGTACCTCCCTAACAACATCTGAGGATAAGACGCGACTGCTAGTAGCTGTATTCTATAACAGAATATTTTATAACTTAAGGGAGAAAGGGAACTATTAGAGATAAAAACTTGTGAACTGCTTGCAAGTTTACTGGGCGGAAACTGTTATTCAAACACAGTTGTCTAAAAACAAATATCCTTGGCTTTTGTGGAGTAAATGGAACACAGAGGTTTTGACCAGGGCATTTCCACTTATGGGGGAGAGGATTATTAAAAGTATACAAGACCTTAATTAAAGTGATGTTTTTAAAGGGCACAAAAATAAAGGGCCAGTAATAATGGAATCAGCTCTGTAAATCTTACACAAAAATATGAGTCTTTGATTCTTAATAAAGAAATGCCAACTTCTGACATCAAACACCCTGATAGTAGGGCTCATTTCTTAGACTTCTTGATATTGTCAGTTGAGTAGGCACAATGGAAGCAGATGAATAATGAGGAAAATGATATAAGGAAGGTCTCTGTTTTTGCTTTTTTTATTCCACAGCGTTATCTTGGCGATAAGAAGAGAAGCGCAGATATTCCTGCTTGGAGGAGGGAGTTTTTCATATTTTAAAACACTATATAACTTGTAAAATGCTGCATTTAAAATACTCCATCCCCAAGTGCAGGCTGTCTCAAAGACTTATAAAAAATGAAGAAGAAAAAATTACCCAAAGGGACCCACAAAAGCCAAAAACAAAAACAAACACCTTGGATTTTAGCTTGGATTTTACTTCATGAGTGTGTGTAAAGAAACAACAGCTGAGGCCGGGTGTGGTGGCTCACACCTGTAATCCCAACACTTTGGGAAGCTGAGGCGGGTGGATCACGAGGTCAGGAGTTCAACACCATCCTGGCCAAGATAGTGAAACCCCATCTCTACTAAAAAAAAAAAAACAAAAAAAAAAAACCCAACCAAACAGCTGAGAGCTGGGAGGAGTGGAGAAAAGAGGGACAGAATGACCTTTCAGCTTTTCCCTCTATTTTTTGAACTGCTTATTAGTGCAATGATTAGATGTGCAATGATTAAAATGATTAGTCCAGTCATTTTACATGTGATTCTGTACAGAAATTAATCTTATTTACTATTAGCTACATTTTATTGATTACTGTACACCAGTGTTTTAAGCACTTTTCATGTATCATCTCATCTAATTCTTACAATCCTATGAGGAAGGTTCTGTTTTATAAATGAGAAAGCTGAGCCACAAAATGGCTAAATAACATTCCCAAAGCCATATAAATATGACATAGATTTGACCCTTGCTGTCTGGTGCTAGAGAATATTTATCAACATACAAGTTTACACACACACACACACACCAGGGAGGGATTGTGCTTTGGTATTTTTGCTATGATGATTTGAGGATACCTTAATTTCCTGGCAATAATGATACTATCGGTTTATCCTGTTTTCAAGAGAGGTGAAATTGACACCAGAATTTATTATTTGCCTTGACATACTTTAAATATCCTTCAGGTAGAGATAATGCCTTCATTATATTCGGTGTGAAACCAGCTCATGTCCCACCTCATAAATTCCCATAAATTAGCCCCAAAGAAATAAAACTAAATCACTCATATCTTTTCACAAAATGGATTTTTATTGTGGTCATACATGGTTTCTCAGTGCCACAGAAAATTGCTATGTAGGGACAAAAAATTTTGGATGGCTCTATAAAGAAATATGGTAGGTTTTCAGAAATAAGTTGTGCAGGAACGTGGTTAATGAAAAGCAGAAAGGGTCAAGGGAAGAGAAAGGAAGTCAAAAGTCAAGGAATGTGGTATGTACATCAAATGATTACTTTTTAAGCCCCTCTAGGCTCTGATAACCCTTTCCCCAAGTCAGATCCCAACAAAATTCATCAGTAACTGAAGTGATTGTGCTAACAGATACATAAAGACTACCAGAGAAAAGTGGGTTGAGATGGGCTCAGACTTATTGTTAGGTCAACTCTGGGAGTCTTGTGTCTGTGCCAACCACAAATCTGTGGGCTACCTGAAGATGAGTTCTAACAACCAGCACAGAACCCAAAGCTGCTCTCCAACACCTCTGATTAGTAGGGAAAGCCTGTAGTGGGGGCGAGAGAGGAAGCTGTGCCCTTCCCCCAACCACTGTTTCATCTTCTGCTCGCTGACCTTGATGTGACTTGAGAGCTCTCCTTGCTTCGGCTGTGCAGTCCAGAAGCCAGAACTTCCTCTAGGAAACTGATAAGTAGTTTGAGGTTACTTGAAAGAAAAAACAAAAGCATCTCCAAAAATAGAATGTCTTGCTCTGGACAGCTAACCAGATGAAAATATATCATAAATAGTAGGCAAGAGGTACTGGTCTGATATTTGGGTATAGAATGGAAGCATCAGTTGAGCACTACAACATCCATACTGCAAGGACAGTCCTTCTGTGCTCTTCCCCAGGGTCTTCATTTTGTTTTTTTTTTT